TGATCATGCATGCCAGGGCCTGCCCTCGTTATGAAACTGCCCAGTGACCACTAGGCCCATTGTCACCGCGGGCACAGGAATGGATCCATGGATCATGGCGCTGAGCGTGCTACCCCTGGCAGGTCACAGTGCATTTTTGCCAGCTGAACATACAGCAGAGCCTTCTTGCCAATGGGCCAAACCATCCATTGCAGGGGTATGAACGGGAGGGAAGTTTGCCCGGGACATACGGTGTCTCTGATCAGAAACCGTTTCCATGCTCTTCCCAGCTGTGTCCCACCCCACGAGGCCCAAAGCCCAGGCGTCCAGGGTGCAAGACTGCCCATTGCCAATGGGAAGGCCCACATCAGCCACCCCCCCTCACCAGCCCCCCCAGAATGGCCTCATCCTGGCCATGCGGCCTGGGCTCAGTCCATCAAACGGACCGGCTCTCAGGCGCCGGGGTCTCTGTTCTTACTGCCCCTGCCAGCGAGGAGGGCCGGGACCCACACACCCCGCTGTGAGGATCTGGCCCTGAGAGCCACTCCTCGGTCACATGCTCAAACAGGAGAGTTAGCAGAGCTCCAGGGCGCCCAGAGTCCCAGTGCACTGCCTGTGCTCGGGAAAGTGCCTTCGTTATTGAATTGTTGTCGTCTTTCAAGCTACAAATGCCAAACAGCCAACTGGCAGGCCTCCCCTCTCCTGTCACAAGTAGGAAGGATCAATACGGGAGGTGGGACCACATAATCACCAGGGCCTTCCAACTCTCAGCTGCTATGAGGTTTTCAAAAAAAAACCTTTCAAAGTACCAGGGAAACGGTAGCTGTGGAGACGGTAACTTGGAGGCAAGGCCAGGAGAATCTGAGCAGAGGGTCCCTGGAGCATCCAATGAAGGCCCCGGGGGTTGCTAGGCAACAGCCAGGCTGCATCCAGAAGGGGAAGCATTGAGAGGGAGGAGTCAGGTGGCGGCAGCACCTCTTCCCCTCCCGTAGGATCAACGGGTGCTATGAAGCGCTCTCAGGGGGCGCCACCACCGAGGGCTTCGAAGACTTCACGGGAGGCATCGCCGAGTGGTACGAGCTGAAGAAGGCCCCGGCCGACCTGTTCAGGATCATCCAGAAGGCTCTGCAGAAAGGCTCTCTGCTGGGCTGCTCCATCGATGTAAGTGCGGGCCTCCCTCCCCCCCTCCCCCCACCTATCCGCTCCGGTCCGGTCTGCTCTGGCCGGAGTGAGCCCCCAACAGCGCCCCAGGGAACCCACTGCCCCAATGTGCAACTCTAGCCCAGCCCTGCCCACCTTAGCGAGCATCACCTGGAACCCAGGGGTTGCTAGGCAACAGTCAGTCCCCCCCCCCCGAGGCCACGCCCTCCGCGGGCCACGCCCCTGCAGTAGTGGGGCCCGCATCCGAGTCCCAGTGAGCGATGATGGGGGGGAGGGGTGGGGGCAAGCAGGGTGCGCCCAACCCGGCTGACCGCCCCCCCCCCCCTCCGCGTTCCCAGATCACCAGC